CAATTTCAGTATGTATTTAAGAAATCTCACTGATCATTTTCACCATTTACTTCTCCTCACCCTACTTAAGTATAAACTATTCTCTTTTTTGTTTATATTTTTCTTTTATGGTTGATATGTCTACAATTGTTTATATATTTTTATATTTATTATTAATATATATAATTATTTATATGCTATATATATTATTCATATATCTGTAATTTTTTATCTATTATATATCTATGTTTTAAATATTTGTGGCTACCGAATTCAAAAAAAATAAAAGTACAATAGTACTTGTTGAAATGTGAAATTGTAATTATTTCTCTAAAAACTCATTTTGAGATAGAGAAAAAATGACATGTACCACTAGCAAAGGTGTTACATAATAGAGGCAATTGAGTTATACAATATACCCATTTACCAGTACACGTGTTTGTTTTTGTAAGTACATTTATAATTTCACCTATAATTATAAATTTTTGGGAGTAAGGGTTACTAAACATTGTTTCTATTTCAAAAACCATCCAATTCATTGCATAATATTGCATAAACCCCTCTCTTCCCAATTTACATACAACTCTAACACAACTCATTTTCAGCATGTGCTTGAGAAATCTCACTTATCATTCTCACAAATTTGCTTCTCTATATCATATTCAGTATAAACCATTCTCTTTTTTGTTTATCTTTTTATTTCATTGTTGATATATATATAATTCTTTATATGTTATATATCTATTATTTATATATCTGTAATCAGTATCTGCTATATATCTACTTTTTATATATTTGTAATTTTTATCTATGGTATATTTAGAGTATTTTATCTATGATATATATATATATATATGATTCAAATTAGTGATATATCTATACTTCGTATATACATAATCTTTTAATTGTAATATATCTATGCGCAATATATTACTAATTTGTTTTTGTTTTCTTGCATGTTTTTGCAAGAGTATATATATACACATGTTTGGATTTGAGATATGAGTGAAATTCATTGTAATTTTCATTAATTTTGTATTTGACTTGATATTTTTATTATTATTTGTTGTTATTTATAATTTTGTGTGTGTTTTTTATTATGATTTGATTTACGCTTTACTTTTCTTATGCGACGATCATAATGTGAGTTTTTATTATCTATAAAATAATTGTTAGCTGACAATTGTTTATATAAATATCTATTATGTGACTACATAATAATACACGACAAATATATAAATAATATTAAGAAAAATTGATAACTTATATTTTAATTGAAACTATTCAAAATATAATATTTATTTAGATTTAAAATTAAAATATGAACCAACTTAGGACACAATTTCATATTACACGAGATGGTTAGATATTTAGGAAGACAAAAAAAAATAGCATATGCAAAGTATATGTTTATGTAAATTCAAATAATAAGTTGGGCATCAAATAAGAATGCTAAAAAGAGTATAGTTCAATTTGAATATATGACGTCATATATACACTCAGCTAATTACAGTTGTTATTTACAGGTACTATTTAATTATTGGAAAATACAAATTTATTCTGAAAAAATTTTGACAATTTGTACCAAACAATGAAAGGCTATATATAGCCTACAGGCGCTCAAAGTCAGTTATCCTCCATCATTTTCCCGCTCTTTTTCTTCTTCAAGAATTCAAACATGGAATCTAGTACACAGCTCTCTATTATCTCCAAACTTGAATCTTCGGTACCGAAATCATCCACTATCATTTCTCTGACTACCTCCGTCCGTTGTCAAATCTCACCAACTCCAGCAAATCCATGCCCACCTCCAAGCGGAATGAAGACGAAACTATAACTATCTGATCACTCGCTAAGCAGTTATTCAATCCATCTCCATTCTCCCCAAACGCCTCTCAAATCCCATCGACAATCAATAAACAACATCAGATGAGCTCTTCAGTCTGCGTGGACTATGCTTGAATTGCCTTGATTTGGTGTTTTTCCCCGTTGTCATGCGCGGCCTACTCGCTACAAACACAAAACCTGAGGTTGGTTCATTGCTAGGGGAATGGGAGCTGTATGAAAATGAGGAAGGGTTCGGGGTTCTGGAGGGGGCTTAGAGACAGTGATTGCACGTCGAATTTGAAGGGGGAAATTTTGGCTACCTCGGTGGCCGCTGATGTGGAGATGTAGGGGTGGTTGTGGAGGTGGTGATGCTCAATGTGAAGTGCGTTTAGAAGGAGCAGAGTAGAGAATTTGAGGATCACAGGAGGGTTCTTAGGTTGGTGGAGGATATCAGACCTTGGTTCAGGTCAGTGGTTACTGTTTATTATTTCTATCTTTTACGTGTTCGGTTCTCTGTTTCTTTCTACATTTTATCGGACCAACAAAAAGAAAAAGAAAGCACTCACATGTAACTTGGAGATTTCACAACGGGTTTCATGACTCTTTCAACAAATGCCACAACAAGTCATTAGATTCACTATGATGCTGGAAAATAAGAATGTATTAGACAAGTTGTACTATATACAGAATAAACTGTTCTTTGAAGTCGTGGATGTAATAAGGCAGAATTTGGTTTTGATCTTGGAATTTGTGAAGGAACACAGAGAAGCATTGTTTAGTGCAATCTAAGCATTTTATGCTAATCAGAAGTTCTTTTGAGCAAGATGTAAACTAGAAGTGTATTAGCTTTATTCCCTGTATTTATTTGTTTTAGCACTAATACGAGGCCATGTCTGTGATACAACTGTCGTGCCTTCCATTTTTTCCATTCCATCATTTTCACAAATTTTTAGGGTGTCTTGCCATTTTTTTTAGTGAACCCCAGTATATATATCGTCGAGGAGGATTTATGTTTTCTTTATTTATTAATGTTTTTTAAAATATTGATTAAATCTAACTTCTTTGGTAGGTTGAGAATGGATAACAAATTAACTGAGTTTGTTGAAATAGTCTCTTACTCGCTAATAAATGTTGATAAAGGGGTGCTCTTCTTTTGTACGACATAGCAAGAGATCTAGGTGTATTCACGATTTCTGGCAGGTAAGTTGTCTAGTGCCATCATGTGCATTTACTATGTCATTATTATAGAGAGAGAGACCATTCTAAGTTGACTTATAATTGACATTGTTTGCAGGTTATGGCACATTTTGAGTTTGACTGCTAACCTTTATGCAACGATTTCTAAAGCCCACGGTCATTGGGATATCCTTGGGTGTCGGACGGGTCCAAATCTACAAAAATGTGCAAAAGCCAACTGCTGTTCTAGTCTATGATTTCATGCTATGACATTGTTGCAGACAGAAAATTTTGCTCCTTAAACTGATGTCTCTTTTGGGGAGAGGAAGATGATTTGAACATTTTACAAACTCTGGTTGAAACCTTATGATTTCATGGACAAATGCACGCATAAAAACAAATGAAATTAAGAAATGAAAACTAAAAGATATTTTCATATACCAAATAGAGCCTAACCTATTGTTCAGCGGTTTTCACTTAAATTAGCTAACTGGATTTAGACATCTCTATGTGCAGATGCCTCCTTGAGAGAACATTCCTACACCAAAGGGATCAGGAAGTCTGGTATGCCTTCTTTAGGTAGCATATGTTCTATACATTTTGGAAGTCAGCACCATCAAGGGCAAGCCTTGCAGATTGTGGCTTCCTTCCCTTTAAAGATCCCTTGTTAAATCTCAGTGGTGATCTACGCTTTACCCAAGTTGTGTTTGAGAGCTGGTTCGGCCATCAAAACTTGGAAATGATCCCTTGTTTCTGATATAAGATCTTAAAAGGTAGGAACATAAGCTTTTCTCTTAATATGGGTAAACATGCATGTATATATATATATCTCGTTATCACAAATTACTGCTTTGATAGATATGCTGATATACCATCCACATCAGATTTTGTCTGAATTTTTGGTTCTGTACTAAGAGTTCAGGAGTTGGCTACAGTCTTGAAAAGCCTTATCTCTGTATATATTTGGGCCACATCAGATTTTATGAATTTTTCACGGCAGGCTGTTGAATAGATTTGATGTCCGGTTGTGTACAAGAGAATAGTGAATTTCCAAACTTGAGATCCGAAACTTAGAAAAGTATGCTGCTCTCTCCTGAGGAATGCTGCTGCAACTCGTTTTTTCTGAATGGCTCTTACAATCCACGAGGTACTCCACCATCCTACCCTTCAGCAGCTTCCCTAGCCATTATGGTAAATCCGTGGAGTAACTGGCAGTGAGATTGACAGATCCAGGGAGGCCGTGCTTGAATAATTGTACCCAAAAAAAGATAGGGTCACCCGTGGGACAGGCCTTCTGATGATGCCTGTTTATGTTTCACTTGGGCCAACTTTTATTTGGAGCCTCTTATACTTTTTTCAATTAGTAAAGTAAAACTTTTTTCCTGACTTAATTACAAGAAACTAAACCACATTAATAATAATCAAAATATCTGTTTGTTTTTTTAAATCGAAGTCGAATATCTTACTCCTATTACAAAACGAGATGCTAGTCAGAAAGCCACACGCGATCTACACGTGGCTTGCTTCATCAATCCAGACCGTTGATTGTGTTGACCAATCTTCATCGTGGGTGGAGGTGCGATAGAAAGTGAGGAAGCACGGTCTGTCCTAGTCAACACATCCCCAGTTTCATGAAAGTGAAAGATCGCCATGTCCTTCAAAGAATTGCATACCACGTAGGTTGTAGCAGAAAGTGACACTTCACAGATCGTACGGCAAAAATTATAACATATTTTACCAAATTTTTAATATAAATTTTAAACTTGAGCAATAAATCTAGACAGGCCAAACCATTAAATACATGAATAATAATTATTAATTGCAGCGGAAGCGAGGGTCCACGAAAAGAATATGATCGTGCATGCAGAAAATCAAACGCCGGTTTTGATTCCACGAAGACGCAAAAAGTCACACGCAGATGAGTCCAATGAGAAAAGAAAGGTAAAGTCACCGGCGACTTTGAAGGAGCCGCCCTCTTCTTCGCTTTCGGGGACGCGCCTCAGGCTCCGCTCATGCCGACCACGCCGGTCAGTCACGTGCCACATCAACATCATCTTTGACTTTTTAGGTGACCAAACAATTTGAAATTTTCAAATATTTAAAATAAGAAAAAAAATCGGTGCGTTAAATTAAAAGACAAGAAATTTGTTAAAAATAGTTTTTGATTTATTATGTAACATATGTGAGGATAAAAAATTTATAGTTGTATCCAATAATAATTAATAATTAAATTTTAATTAGGATTAAATAAATTTAAACACTAAATTTTTCGTTAATAATCTTAAAGAGGGTCTCTTAATATTAGAACACTTATTAATTAATGATGTGTTTATTATAATTAAACGACGAGATTAATTGAATTTGGATCTCAGCTCGCAAATTTATTTATTAAATCTTTACCGATAATTAATCTTCCCAGTCTTTAATTTAAAATTTATTGTTAAAGAAAGAGAATTCAAACATATTATTACAAGAGAAAAAAGAATATATATATATATATATATATATGTATATCTATGTACTCGATAGCATTTCAGATCTTAAGAATTTACACGTGGCATATAATGATTGGTGGAAGTAGTAGTGTAATAGAAAAATACTAACGTTGTCTGTGGTTTAGTTACTACAGCACACAAAGAACTGTTTCCACTTCCCTCCCACAACTCTTCTTCTTCGCACGTGCCGCCGTCTCCTATCCGCCCTTTCAAATACAAGGCCACCCGAGTTGAAACTCCCACAATCAAATCTCTCTCTCTCTCTCTCTCTCTCTTTGTTGTGCTTCGTCTCCGTCCTACTCTAGTTCTCTCTGCGAACAAGCAAACAAACAATGGCGGAGGCAAGCGCAGCGGTGGCACCGACGCCCCTTCTCAAGGATGAGCTCGACATCGTGATCCCGACGATCAGGAACCTTGACTTTCTTGAGATGTGGAGGCCTTTCTTCCAGCCGTACCACCTTATCATTGTCCAGGATGGTGACCCGTCCAAGATCATCAAGGTTCCGGAGGGGTTTGACTACGAGCTCTACAACCGAAACGACATCAACAAGATACTGGGTCCTAAGGCGTCCTGTATTTCATTCAAGGATTCCGCTTGCAGGTGCTTTGGCTACATGGTCTCCAAGAAGAAGTACATCTACACCATTGATGATGATTGCTTTGTAAGCTGCTTCTCTCTCTTTTTATTAGTCTCTTGTATGGTAAATTTCGATCTGGGTTTTGGCTTTTGATTGGGAAGCTTTGGTGGTCGGAATAATTTTGGACTTGATCTGGGAGTAGATTCTGGAATTCGATCTTTTCGGGATTTGGGTTTAATTTTCGTGTAATAAAAGCGGATCTCGGATTGATTTGGGGTGTTAGTTTGTGGTCTATGAAGAAATTTTCGGAGGTTTAGAATTATGAATTCGTCTGTTCGGGACTCATATAATGTGTTTTGTCTGGTGGTTTTTTGTGGGTTATTGAATTCGATTGAAGGGTGACCAGATCTGGGTGTGATCTCTATCATTCAATTATATTTTTTACTTTTGCCTCGTGTTGATTTTATTTTTGGAGGGAATTTTGAATTTTGGTGGGGTTTTGTTTGGTGAGCTTTTGGTTAAATAGAATATTATTCTGATTCATATTTGATGTCTGGTAGCACTAGCTTTTCCTAAATTTAGCTGTTTGAATCTGCATCTGTTGCTAGAGTCTGCTGTCCGTGTAAATCTTCTTTACGAGTTCTATAACCTTTATTATGTGATCATCGTCATTGGCTCAATTTGATCTGCTTTTGTCATGCATAATTTCATGTTAATTAAGTTAGGTCTGAATGTTAGCTGATTAACAGTGACAATATAATTGACCTCTATAGATATTTTGTTCTAAAATCCAGTTTCAAACCATATATGTTTCAATGTGGTTTATCAATAACCCACTAAATTAATTTGAAAACATGTCCGAAAATCTTCTAAACCCATGTATTTAATATGAATGGATCTATTCATCTAAAGAGACTCGAAAGTTTTTTACATGTAGTCAATAATGCAAACCACATTCTTAGATCTTGGATGTCAGTAGCAGTTTGCAGCTTGATCTGTATCAGTCTAGAGCATTCGTTTTGATTACACCATCTTGGAACTGTAACCATCTCATTCATTGCCTGCATTGAAGAAATAGTCTGTCGAATTCTTTAATGTAGTTTTGGTACTATTACAATCTATACTCAACCAGGCTTTGCTATGGCTGATGGTGCGATACAGTTTTTACTGTAGTGATCCTATCCATCACCTGCACTGATGTAATAGTTCATTCGATTCTTTAATGTTGTTTGGTGTTACTACAATCTATGCTCATTTAGGCTTTGCTATGGTTATTGGTGCAGCAACAAATTTGGATTTGGGGGTATGGGGCCTTTAAATGCATATCTGAAATTTCAGCTGGGTTATGTTGTTTGCAGGTTGCCAAGGACCCAACTGGCAAGGACATCAATGCCCTTCAACAGCACATAAAAAACCTTCTGAGTCCATCCACTCCATTTTTCTTCAACACCCTATATGACCCATACCGCGAGGGAACAGATTTTGTTCGTGGCTACCCATTCAGTCTCCGTGAAGGTGTACCTACAGCTGTTTCCCATGGTCTCTGGCTTAACATCCCTGATTATGATGCCCCTACCCAGCTTGTGAAGCCTCTCGAGAGAAACACCAGGTAGATAAAACTTTATTGCTCCATGAGTTTTGGTTTATTCAACACATTCATCATTGCAGAGACAATATCTATTCCTGTTCTGTATAAATGGAATATAAATTAAACTCGACATAACTATTTTCTAATATCTGCGGCACTGGCAGGTATGTTGATGCTGTAATGACAATTCCAAAAGGTACCCTATTTCCCATGTGTGGAATGAATCTGGCATTCAACCGTGAGCTTATTGGCCCTGCAATGTACTTTGGACTCATGGGTGATGGTCAACCTATTGGACGTTATGATGATATGTGGGCTGGTTGGTGCACTAAGGTATTCTTCTTTATACTTCAATCACTCCACATGATTTTTATCAGAGTCAAATTGTGATACATTCAAATAATGAAGTCCTACGAATTGGTAAATCTATAGTTGGAACTTTTTTTCCTGAATCTAACAGGAAAAAAAAAATCTCTTACGAAACCAAGGAACCAACTAGGTTAAGATTGCATTTACTACGAGACTATTTCGTGATTGCTTATTGGCTGCACATATAAGCAACTTCAAGTATCTTGTTTGGTTAGACAAAAAGTAGTGTGTTTATAAACTTATGAAATCAGCAAAAAAAGCAACTTGGCACCAAATTATTTAAGCACATTCATCTCAGCAATCCCAGCTTGACTACGATAACTCCATAAGGGGTCCTTTAGTTGAAAAACTATGAGTGCTTATCATCAGTTATATATGATATGCAGGTTGTATGTGACCATTTGGGATTGGGAGTGAAGACTGGATTGCCATACATCTGGCACAGCAAAGCCAGCAATCCTTTCGTTAATCTTAGGAAAGAATACAAAGGAATCTACTGGCAGGAGGAGCTTATCCCGTTCTTCCAACAAGTCAGCTTACCGAAAGACTGCACCACTGTTCAAAAATGCTACCTCGAACTCTCCAAGCAAGTCAAGGCAAAGCTTGGCAAGGTTGATGAATACTTCAACAAACTAGCTGATGCCATGGTCACCTGGATTGAGGCATGGGATGAGCTTAACCCGTCCGGAGACAAGCCTGCTGAGTTAGCCAAAGGTGCTGCTGCGAAGTAGAAAAGCGTTAAGACAGTTTTAGATTTTTGTGTCATGAGCAGATCAGAACATCCCCCCTTTCGTTCGAGCTCATGCTAAACCCGGATTATTTATTCTATGAGGTTGGATCCGAATATTTTCATTTGTATTTATTTCTGTTGTCTGGATTATGAGCACAGAACAATAAGGAATTTTTATTGGCTCTCTACTTATATTAGATTTGAGATTAACTTATTTAATTCGACATCAATTTGGATTTATTGATCTTTGTGCTTTCCTTCTTGCCCTTCTTTGAGAATGTTGAGTTTTCTACATTGGTTGCTTACAAAGTATATATTACTGATGGGGAATGTTGTCAGTAATATATTTACATACAGGAAGTGTAAGAAAAGGATCGACGTCGTTTTTGTCCGTCTAGAAAATTACAAGGAGTCGCAGGACATTGTTTCTGTCAGAAACCCAGCTCATAAATGCTGTTATAAATTTGAATGTATAATATTATATTTTAGTTCTGAGATCATAGTTTTTCAAAACAAAAAAATATCCTCCATGCATATTTTGGTGGGAAGTGCGAAAAAGTAGAAGACCGGCTGTTTACATCGGTTTTGATGCGCATGTCTCCATGTCCAATGTTGTCTCAACAACAAAACTCCAGCAGAGCATGTCTTCATATATATGTATATATATATATATATATATGAACACACAGACACACACATGCATATACATATAGAATTGCCTATAAAATTGTACATGAAGAGTTTTTTCACCCTCCAAAAGTCCCTTTTATTATAATATTGGTAAGGATGAAGTTTTATAAGTAAACTATATGAAAATATTTAGGTCAACATATTGTTTTAATTAGTTGAAAACTTAATTAATATTATCACATGTAATTAGTAAGTACTAATTATTTTTATAACATGCGTTATTAAAAAGAAAAATTTGTACATGACAAACAGTAGCAAAGTTTGTTAATAGGTGGGCCAGGGAATCGAAAATTTGAATCCGGGGAATCATCAAAACGCTCCGTATCGAGGCCCGGGTCCCCAAGTCGGTATGTTTTGAAATTCTTCTCCCTGGTGTAAAAAAAACCGGCTCAAATTTAAAAAAATTTGCAAAACGCCGTTGCCGGGGATCGAACCCGGGTCACCCGCGTGACAGGCGGGAATACTCACCACTATACTACAACGACCACTTGTGTTAAGTTATTAACAAATTGATAAATATTGAAAACTAAGTCTTTAATTACTGTAAAAATTATAATAAAAAATATACTAGAAATTAAATAAAAAAAAAAAGAAAAGAAAATTAATTTTAAAAAATAAAACAATAAACTGAATTATAATTATGCCCGCACATTAAAGATTCTATTTACTTGTACCGCATAAATTTTGCTGATTTTTTAAGAGCTTCAAATGTGTGTCTCATGTTTTGAGGCCGGTCAGCTCATAGCTGACTCTTTTTCTTGGGGTGCAAATAGACCTCTTATTCCAAATTGTGTATTGCAGGATGGACAAATTTTTAAGTAATTTTATATAATGGGTATGAGTTCTTTGAAATTATTTCATTAATAACTTGATAAACATCTCCATAATCAGTTGTATTATTACTCATTACTTAATACTTGTAATATGTTTTCATGCAATATTATATTTTTATTAAAAGAATTCATGGTCGTCTGTAAGTTTCCACCAACCTTACTTCTATTCTGTGTCATATAAAGTCATTCCATCAAACATGATACTCAACCAAAGCCATTATGCGAGTAAATCCTTGACTTGCTGAGTAGAAAAGGAGAGTAATTTTGAATCTGATACTGAAGAATACAATCATGCAAATGGAGTTTTAGCTGCCATTGGTTGGCACAAATACAGCAGAAGTAAATTTGTAGTGCACATGAATCATGCATTATAACTTATTTCTACGGGGAGGATTAGTATTTGTTAATGCAGTTCTTTCAGAATGTTCTCAGAGAATAAAAGGGACAGCATATTAACGCAAACTTGAAGCTATCGGATATTTCAGTGCCGGGGAAGGAGGCCATGGGCTTCCCAATTTTTCCAACAGTCGTACTAGAATTTGAACTTTCTCCTTGCTTCTGGCCAGAGCTTGAGTTGATGTTAGTTGGTAATCCAGTGACCGCTTCTTGGAAACTGCCAAATCTTCAGCCCTTCAGTTCCTGCCTATATACAAGTAAAATTATAGATAAATGTGAGAAAACAAAGTGCCAAGTTTAATGATTCTGAAGTTAATAGAAATCAAGTTCTCGGTTCTCAATATACCCATTTAAACTTAAAGTGATTTAACTATAAATGGCTTGATTCCGAGAATCATATGGTATACGGTATTCTTCTTTGTGCTCTAGGACACACTCAATCTCCAGGCCAAGTATGTTTTCCTCCTTGTTTGAGCATCTATGTGCTCGTAACAGTGAAGATTTCCCGTCTTGGCATGCTGGTTGTTTCAGATCCATGGACGAATGATGCTGGCCATTGAGTAATTAGAACCCACCATTTGTCCAAGCCATAGAATAGAATTACAAGCAATTGCAAATCAACAATTCCTTTCGATGAAAAACAATCATTTCTCTTTTCTATATTAAGTGCTAATGTTATCATATCAAACAAAATATATGCCAACGGCGTGTTTATACACAATACCTTCTCTGAAACCACTCAAGTGATCCGGAGGCAGCAGAAGGCATCATTTTCCTGCTTCACCTGCATGATTTGCCTTTGATGTTCAACCCGCTGAAGCTGTGATGATAGTTGAAGCAAGTCAATTGTGGGTCCGTCTTCACATGAACTACGGTTCTTGGCATTTAGAAAATCTGTCCCTTGGTAAATTCCATTGGGGATATCAAAGTTTGGGGCATCAATGCCATCAGACAGCAATATAGGGCACAACTGGCTTCCTTCAGAAGAATTAACTCCTGTGGAAGATAACTTATTAGGCAATCCATTAGCTGAAGCCCGTGAACTTACTCCCATGAGCTTTTCAGATACTTGACCAATGCTGTAATGGATGTGGTTGGCTGGCAATACCAGAGAACGAGCCATGGGAATTCCAGACAAATGGCTTGAAGAGTTCCCTGATTGAGATGACAGAAGAGAGAGAGCACAGCCAGAGTCTGACATCCCCGAGAGTCCTTGGATGGTTGATGCTGTGTTACAAAAGCTAAAGTCTTCACTTCCTAGCGAGGCCTCTTGGAATAGAGGACGAGATCCAATATGTGGGTCTCCAAAATCATGTGGATATCGAGTACTGTTGTCATTAAAAATGTTGTCAATTGCCATATTACTTCCATTCTCATGGAAAAAGAAGCAGTTTCTCAAATTCATTAGAAGGGACAGGAGGTTTGAATGCAG